AGGGTTCTATAATTGAATACCAGGAACAATTTGAAGAATTGAAATCCTAGATGATGGTTTCCTTGCCACACTTGCTAGAGTCCTACTATATTTTTGTCTTCACTAGTGGCCTGAAAGATGAGATCAAACCAATGGTTAAAATCATTCAACCCCAAACACTATCTAAAGCCTTCAAAGTTGTCCTCCTACAAGAAAATACCATTACAGCCCTCAGTAAGGGATCTAAAACCTTCAAACCTTACCCAACGAATAAATGGATCATCCTAACCTCTAAACCAAATGAAACCTATCCCAAATCCACACACTACACTGAATAAAAAAACTCCACTAATTCCCTTAAATTCAAAGATATCACCCCGTCTGACTTTCAAGCAAAAACTGGGATTATGTTATAAGTGTGATAAGAAGTACACTAGAGACCACATTTGTAAAAACAGGATGCTCAATTTCATCCTAATAGATGAAGAGAATGATGAGGTGGTAGAGGAACCGCCTAGAAATAAAGGGAAACAAATAGATAAAGGAGGCGTGGATGAACTAATGAAAATTTCGCTATATGCATTGGTAGGTAGCAACAGGGGTAAAACTATCAGGTTGCTAGGGTTGATTAAATGAAAAAAGGGTATCCATTTGATAGATAATGGAAGCACTCATAGCTTCATTGATGAGCAATTGGTCAGTAGCATTAATTGCAGCCTATAGGCAGCCAAACCTACCTCAGTGACTGTAGCAGGAAGAGGGAAACTAGTTAGCAAAGTTATTTGGAACCCCGCTAACTTAGAAGACGCAAATTTGGAGTTTCAATACAAATTGAGGGTTCTCAAATTAGGGGGCAGTGGTGTGGTACTAGGGATGGATTGGCTAAGTCAATTCGGCCCTGTATTGTTTGATTTCATAAAGGGAAGCATCACCTTCAGCTATGAAGGAATCAAAATGGAACTTCGAGATGAAACTATTAGGGAAGAATTTCAAGTGTTGATTGACAATAAAAAAAAGGTTGGTGTAGGCGTCAAACTTATGGAGTAATGGCGTAGATTGTTGCCATGACTGAAGAAGAATAGAAATCTACTCTTGCAAAATTAAAAGTTGTGGTGAAGCAGTTTCCCATGGTGTTTTTGGAGCCAAAAGGCTTACCCCCACCCAAATTCAACAATCACCATATACCTCTAAAGGAGGGGGCACAACCATTTAGGATGAGACCATACAGGTGTCCGTACATACAAAAGACAGAAATAGAGAGGATGGTTAAAGAAATGAGAGAAAATGGCATCATACAACCGAGTAACAGTCCCTTCACTTCACCTGTGTTGTTGGTAAAGAAGAAAGATGGTACTTGGCGATTCTGTGTAGATTATAGACAGCTTAAAAATCTCACAATCAAGGACAAATATCCTATGCCATTGATAGATGAATTGTTGGAGAAGATTGATTTGAGGGCTGGCTATCATCAAATTAGAGTAGCTACAGAAGATGTCCATAAAACAGCCTTAAAAACTCATAAAGGTCTTTTTGAATTCAGAGTAATGCCATTTGGATTGATAAATGTGCCAACCACATTTCAATGCCTAATGAATGAGGTATTTAAGCAACATCTCAAAAAGTTCATCTTAGGGGGCTTTTTTTTCCATTTTTGTAAAAATGAAAATGAAAAATGTAGTCATTATAGGACCTACAAAAGAGATTGAAATTCAAATTGGTGGCTTGATGTGATGGATAACAGTCATATTTTTCATTTTAATAGGGAAAGAATGGGAAACAAACAGGGGCTTAGTGTTTTTTGATGATATTTTGGTGTATAGTGTCGGCTTAAAATCTCACTGTGAGCATGTTACTATGGTATTGGAGACCCTAAAAAAGCATCAACTTTATGCTAAGGATAGAATGTGTTCCTTTGGACAATCTCAGATTGAATACTTAGGCCATATTATTTCGACAGAAGGAGTATTAGCTGACCCTTCTAAAATTATTGCAATGCAAATGTGGCCTATCCCAGTCAATGTTAAGCAACTTAGGAGGTTCCTTAGCCTAACGGGGTACTATAGAAAGTTTTTAAGAGGGCATGGAACTATTGCCAGGCCATTTACTGACCTACTTAAGAAAGATAGCTTCCATTGGAATGAAAGCGCTGAATTAGCATTCCAAAAATTGAAGAAGGCCATGAGTACTACACCAGTTCTAGCATTGTCAGATTTCTCTATACCCTTCGTCATAGAAACTGATGCTTGTTATGGTGGATTAGGGGATGTCGTGATGAAAAATCGAAGACCTATAGCCTACCCGAGTAAGGGCATTTATAGCAAGAATTTGGGATTATCAGTCATGAAAAGGAGCTCCTAGCACAAGTAACTGTCATTCGAAAGGGGAGGCACTTTCTAGAGGGTCATCACTTCATCATTAAAACTGACCATCAGTTACTTAAGTATCTGTTGGAGCAAAAAATCACAACCTTATTGCAACAAAAGTGGTTATCTAAGCTGTTGGGACTCAGCTATGAGATTCGGTACAAGAAGGGTTTAGATAATGAGGTAGCGGATGCCCTATCCAGTAGAGAGATAGAATGCCTAGTCGTTACTGTAGTGACACCCCAATGGATAGAAAAAGTGATAGCCAATTATGAAAGGGATGGAGTTGCAAAAAGATAAAATTAATGCCCTGTTACTCAATGGCCAGGCTGATCCAAATTATCAATAATTAAATGGACTACTTAAATACAAATCCAGAATCTATATTGCGACTGATGGAGGGGTGAGGAAGAAGCTGATTGCAGCCATTCATGCTTCACAAGAATGAGGGCATTCTGGTGTTTAAGCTAGCATTCACAGAGCGAAACATTACTTCTTCTAGCCAGGAATGAGTAAAGAGATTAAGCAAGAAGTTATAAAATGTGATACATGTCAAAGGTGTAAAAATGAACATGTGCTATATCCCGGGCTCTTACAACCCTTACTTGAACCACAATATGTGTGGAGTCATATCTCCATGGATTTCATTGAGGGTCTACCTACTTCTAATGCTAAAAATGTGATATTAGTGATGGCAGACAGGTTTACTAAGTATGCACATTTTATCACCCTAGCTCATCCATTCTCAGCTTCATCTATTGCGAAGTTGTTTTTGAATTACATCTACAAATTGCATGGCATGCCACAGAGCATTGTAACGAATAGAGATAGAATATTTACTAGTGGGTTTTGGCAAGAACTATTCAAGCATTTAGGGGTCAAACTACAGTTAAGTACAGCTTATCACCCAAAATCGACGGGCAAACGGAGAGGCTAAATCAGTGTTTGGAAATGTATCTTTGATGCATGGTCCATAGACAGCCTAAGCAATGGAGTAAATGGGATAGTTTAGCCGAATGGTGGTATAATACCACTTTGCACACAGCTATTAAAATGACCCCATTTGAGGCATTATATGGTCTTAAACCATCCCAATTAGCTTTGGGTCCATACCAACAGAGCAACATTACGACAGTAGAGGAAATACTTCATGAAAGACACTGAATGGATCAGCTACTGAAAGAGAATCTGGCACAAGCTAGAGCTAGGATGAAACATTATGCGGATAAACACATGAGTGAAAGAGAATTTCAAGTGGGAGATTGGGTTTATATTAAGTTACATCCCTATGCTCAACAAACAATGGCTAGAAAAACCAACAACAAACTTCCTACAAGATATTATGGTCCATATCAAATAATTCAGAGAATTGGATCAGTAGCTTACAAGCTGGAACTACTTGCTACAGCCGTAATTCATCCAGTCTTCCACATTTCATTACTTAAGAAGAAGATTAGGGAGAAAGAGTTCTTATTCATACACTTCCAAATCAGAATCAGGGATATGGAGACTATACTGAGCCTCCAAGTGTGTTGTCCACACGACAGGACAATCAAAATGGGCTAGCTATAAAACAATGGCTAGTCCATTAGAAAGGCTCCAATCTAAATGAGGCGACCTGGGAGAATGCTGAGAAAATGTAGGCATCTTTTCCATCCTTTCAACCTTAGGGACAAAGTGTAGTTGCGAGAGGATGTTATGAAGGAGCAAATCAGCTGAAGTGGAGAGATAAAGGTAGGAGAAACACCAAGAAGAAGAGAAGCAACCGCTGATTTTTGAAATCAAGTGGCGACATCGTTTTGAATAAAAGAAACGGCGTCGTTTTGAGTCAAATAGGGCTGAATGTAATAGGAATGCGTTTTATATATTGCATTTTCATAAATGCGTTCCTTCCTTCTATTTTGCTTATAACTAATGAGGAGAGGAGAAATAAGGGCGTGAAAAAGATCAGGAACAATGTGAACTTTCCCTCTTAAGATTCTCTTCTTCTCTCCTCCTTTCTTTCCCTTCTCCGATTTGTAGTTCTCGTTCTTTTTGTGGAGTTCAGTTCAACTAATAGATTTCCAGCTTGGGTTGTTGATATCATCTGATTTGATTTTTTTATTGATTGGAATTATATTTTACCTAGTTTGGTCGAAGCTGAGTCCAACCATTACACATTTATTTTCTCTTAGGGATCGAAACGGTGCACGAAGGGGAATGGAAGTATTATAGGGAGGTTGGACGATGATTAAGATAACTCTTCTTTCACGTTCATTTTCCTACTTTCTCGACCAACAATCGCGATCCCTACTCATTGGGAATGGACAAGGGTATTTGTCGTGACTATATTCTTTTTAAACCTAAAAAAATATAATATTACATTTATATGTCGATTTTAAGTTGAGCAAAGTGTAGAGATGTCAAATGAATTGAATAGTTTGAGGATTCTAACTTGTTCACGCTCAACTCATACTAAGTCTAGCTGAGCCGAGCTGAATCGAACCAAACCGTCTCATGAGTCAAGCCAATGAGTTGACTCGTCTTGAGCTCATGGGTTGGTTTGGGCTAGACTCTTCAAATGAACCAAAGGATTGAGCATAGCCTTATTTGGGGACATGAGCCGAGTGGCACGCTAGTAATTTCTCGAAAATGGAGTCCCATTATCAAATCGATTCTTATCATCTGCCTGTGCTGAAAAGCCATACCCAAAATCCCGAAGCACCACTGTACAACTCCAATGGCGTTATCTCTGGCGCTTTTACACTCAGCTGCGTCCGTATTCAACGGCAAGTTCCCGCCACCGTCCATGCGGTTTCCGGCCGTCGTACTCCGCTCTCGCCCCGGTGGATTGTCGGTTACCGCCATGTCATCTGTGGTCCTGGTAGAGAAAAGCGAAGCTGAGAAGGTCAATCGGCTCAAAACCACTTACATCGAGAAAATCGTCCCCTTGCTCAAAGAAGAGTTCGAATACACCAATATTCACCAGGTGTATAGCATGTTGCTCGGATTTTTTTTTTTTTTTTTTTTTTTTTTGTTTTTTTTTTTTTTTCTATTTGTTGACAATAATATAGATAGATTTTTGTCGATTGTTTGTTTTTTTCCCTTCGAATTATTGATAAATAAAAACTGAAACTGAAAAATGGAAACAAATTTTCGGAATGTATGTTAACATTTAGATATCTAGAAATATTTAGTAAGAAATGGTAAATGTGTAGTCGTGGTTGTTACACTAATTTTGTATTAGGGTGTACATGTAACATAGTTCACATATGTTATTCAGTAAATTTGGGATTTGTTGTTAACCTGCCTAACTTGCATTGGATTTATGATAGGTTCCAAAAGTTGAAAAGATTGTGGTGAATTGCGGTATTGGAGATGCTGCGCAGAATGCGAAGGGGTTGGAAGCGGCTATGAACGATTTGGCGCTCATTACGGGTCAAAGGCCGATAAAGACGAGAGCAAAGAATGCTATTGCCACCTTTAAGATAAGAGAAGGCCAACCGCTTGGAATTGCAGTTACTCTGAGAGGAAATGTGAGCTATCTACATTGACTGCTGCATGATGTCTTTTGTATGTTGTGCATTAGATGAATGTTTTTGGCATAGAAATGATGAGATTTGCATAGTTTACAATGCTAGTTTACCTTTAGCTAAGGGGGATATACTCAGACTGAGTTGCATTCACTCTAACCTCAGGAAATCTTAGGCTACTTTTGGCACACTGGATTAGACCTTACAAGAAATTATGCATAAATTAGAGGAGATAATAATAGGGGTGGACTAAAGTTGACATCTATAAATTTTTCATTCGAAAGAATATTATTTGCATTTTGCACTATCTTTCTTATCCGGCCTAAGCCCACCTCACTCATATTATCCAGTAACTTAAGAAAGATGGTGCAGAGAACATTCTTTTGAATAAAAAACTAAAACTTACTATCTGCCTCAACCCAACCCCAAATAGTTCCTGCATAGTATATCTACTCATTTTTATACGTAATTCCTTATAAAGTCCAATTCGGTGTGCCAAATGCAACCTTTGTCTTTGGTAATACCAGTAAACTGATGGTTTCTCATGTATTATAATGGAAAGGGAGGAGTGATAACGGCACTTCATGTGAGATGACATAGAGGAGTGCCAAAATCATTTACCTAACCAAGAGAAATCTTCAAGATTCATGGTTTGTAGCTTTGTGAAAATGACAGATCTGAGCATTAAATTTATATGGATATTTGCACAACCATATTGGGATTGAAGCTGCAATATTCCTTTTTTGTTCAGAGTGTTTGTGGATTTCAGGATTCCATTGCTCCTCATGAACGCACCCATTCGGAGAGTGTGATATTTAGCCCCTGTTTGGTGGGGATTAAAATCAGATTTTTATTATTTTGATAGAAGTTGAAAAAAAATGTATGGTTAAAAAGTTGTGAGTCCCATGAAATATATGGTCAAAATTAATTGTTGGCTTTAACTTACCAAACAGGGGCATAATGTGTACTGCCGGCTGATCATGCCACTGGGCTATAAATTTTTGGTTTGGCTTTGCATGAGAGTCACGCATCATCTATCACGCAATATATCTTTTCTGGTTTCTTGTTCCTCAAACGATTTAGAATATATGTGAGCCCTGTGTTCCAAATCATGCACAGTTTGGTAGCTAATAAAATGTTAAAAGTGAACTCATGCACCATCCAATACTTGAATTTTCATGCCATGACCACGTCAAATGTAAGTCTTTGGGCACGGAGACAGCCTTATGCTTTGTGCTCTTCTTGATCTATTTACGACAGGTGATGTACTATTTTCTTGATCGACTCATTAATCTAGGACTTCCTAGGACGAGGGATTTTCAAGGTGTGAGCTCGAATAGCTTTGATGGGCATGGAAACTACAGCATTGGCTTCCGTGAGCAGAGCGTTTTCCCGGAGATAAGTTATGATATACTTGGTAAGCCACGGGGAATGGATGTTTGCATAACCACAACAGCTAATACAGATAAAGAAGCCCATAAATTACTTGCTCTTATGGGAATGCCATTTAGAGAAGGTGGTGGTGGTGGCCCCACAACCGTGGTACGGAAGAAGAAGCTTAAATCTCACCATTTTGACTCAAAGTCGAAATCAAAGCAAAGAACCAAGAAGAGGTAAACCTCGTTCTTTGTCAAGGAATTAAGAGCCCGTTTAGGTTAATTGCAACATGATATTTTGTTAGTTTTTGAAGGTACTGTTATCTGTATTTTTCTGTATTTAGCTTGTTTTTCCCTAAATTTTCTTTCTATAATTTTGAAATTTATGCGATTTGATCATTGAGAGGCTCTTTAATGAAAATCATTCCCCCTTCGCATTTACGCTGAGGACACCCTCAATTCAACATTAGGTCAGACTTAGCATCCTTTGCTTATCTGATTTTGTTACGGATTAAACAAGTAATCTATATTATCAAAAGGAATTAATAACACGAAATAGGAGAAATGTAAGGAAGAATCACACTTGATATAACGTGCTTTATCATCTATTAAGAGCTATTATACCAGGTGTCAGTGTCGAATTGTGCTAAATCTACTATGATACACGAAAAATGGAGGCTCAGCTTAATGCCTTTTATCTAAAATACCCTTATGATATTAGGTCAAATTTCTGTCGAGGAAAAATGTACAATATATTAAAATACACATGCCAAATAATTTTAACACCAACGACATTATCCACAAGTAATTTGCGTTATACCACCTAAAATCTAGTGGCAAGTCCAATGGTGGACTCTCAACACAATACGAAGAGAAAAAGAAAAGAAGAAGAAGAAGAGAAGAAGCTAAAGTCCCGTTTTTTATTTTGTCTAGTTCAGCATATCAAACATACACTGAGAAGCCCATTTTTAGCCGAGTCCGGACAATAAAGATGTAAAAGAATTACTAACACAAGCTTCCAACAATCATAAATCTAAAATCTGCAACTGACTTCAACTCCTTTTTACAACAATCACTACAAAGATAATATGTCAATAACAATGTTCTCTTCCTTCTAGGGAATTTTATGTGATCAATACAGATTCCTCGGGGTATTCTTTTTGTCTAACATCATACAATGACATTCCTCAATGAAGCGGGTCTGGGTTTAGTTTGACAGATTCCATCCAGATGAGCTCCTTGATATTCTCTTCAGTGAACGACGGCTGCTCAAAATTGAACACAAAAGTCTGATGGCAAACAGGCTCCTCGTTGATTTTATGAAGAGGCGCCAAGTATGGATGACAAAGAGCCTCATCAACTGCAATGGGACAAATAAAGCATTGAACATCAGTTGAACGGATAAGCCAAAATAATAATAATAATAATAAATCAGTAAATAGACTTGGATTCTCCTGACTGGTTCCCATAACATTGAAGAAATTCATTGCAAGATTTTGAGCATGCGTAAGTAAGCTTAGAAAGCTTCCTTATAAGTCTGTTCCAAAATTATTAATTCTTTTGATCGATCAAAGTTAGAAGTTACTTATATTTTGACATAAGAATAAGTAACTTTTTTCACTAGAAATTAAGAAAGAGTAAAATATTTTAACATGTTTGGAAACAAGAGTTGCTTAAAACATGCTTCTTCAATTCAAAGCAATCAAGATTTGACCGAAATCAATAGTATACCGGAAATGCGTTTGCTTGGGTCAAAGACGAGCATTTTCTCAAGTAAATCCAGAGCTCCAGGAGAAGTGTTCGGAAATCTGGCAGAGAATTGTTGCCTTGGATACTGCGGAAGCTGCCTAACATATCTTCGGGCATTATCACTTCTTAGAAACCCGAGACTGGCATCATCAGGTGATCCTATAAGCTTTTAAAACCAAAGGAAAAAATCAATGTCAGGATTAAAACAGAAAGTAAACAAAACCAAAAAAGAGGCTTTACTATCTGCATATATAAAGGAAATTTAATTGAGAACATGCCTAATGATTTCATATCCACAGAACCTCAAATTTGAGACAGCCAACACCATTGGGGACACCACACTCTTGAAGAAGTCGACCACGGGAACCAATTTCTCAAGCGATTATTTTAGATATAAGATCTAAAGATTCAGATTAAATTTTTACGACCCAAATAACATATTAGGCTTTTCTAAGTGAACAATTAATCAACATGTCGACCCCATAGAACACAGATATTTAACAAATAACCACAGTATGCATAAGATTCAGATTAGTAGAACAGATGAAGCAGTCAAGAAGACAAGGGCAGAGATACGTTCTCAAGAAGACAAGGACAACCATCAAAAACAGAAGCTTAAACCAGATAAATGAAAACAAGGGAAGATCTAAATTTTTCCTCCACGTATATTTTGTAAAAACATCAGTTTCATTGATTTCTTGAAATGAATACGACTTCCCGTAGGGTTTTAATAGTCAACTGCGCAAGATGCTCAATCTACGTCTGGTATCACTCTGTAGAACATACCTCTGTGATAAGTCTCAACTGATGAACATAATCTTTACCAGGAAATAGTGGCTGTCTTGTCATGATTTCACCAAGTATGCACGCAACTGACCAGATATCAATTGCTGCAGTGTACTCTGAACAATTTAGGAGCAGTTCTGGTGCTCGATACCAGCGAGTGACAACATACTCTGTCATGAAATCAGTCTCAGATGTTGTCCTTGCAAGCCCAAAATCTCCAATTTTCAAATCGCAATTTGCATTGAGAAGCAAATTGCTGGGTTTAAGATCACGGTGCAAGACATTTGCAGAATGAACATATTTAAGTCCTCGCAGAATTTGATAAAGGAAGTACTGCATCATTAGAATGAAAATTCACTTGAGCTATCCCAGTTTTACAACCCAACATGGAAATGGGACCAATTTACTTGTCCACTGATACACATAAAAGCTATCATGCATGGAAGTAAAAAAAGGGCTCGATGCATAAGAACAGTGCAAATCCATGAAACCTAGTTAAGACGCACAGGGAAGTTGCTTTTCAAACATGGTTTTTCTACCATTAAGCAAGCGAATTTGAGCATTGTTGATGAATACAAAAACCAAGGAAAAATATTAGATTAAGTATAGGATAAAAGCATATTTATCTTAACATAGATTTTGTATACAAGTTCCTAAAAACTTACACACACAGTGTCATGTACTCAAGAATGCAAGGGGCAAAAATGTGGAACCTGTCTGGCAAAATCAAGCATAGTTATGAAAGGCATAACTTATTTCAAAACAAAAGAGAGTAATTAATTAGCATAATTTCTTAAGCTTATGAAGGGCATCATACAACCAGGGTTTCTTCGAGTTAGTAGAAGGTGATGTTTCGAACTGCCTTCTTTTCCTTCTTACTTTTTACTTGGTGTCCCTTCTTACTTTTTACTTGGGACACCAGAAATGGGCATGAAGGGAGATGAAAAAAAGTATAAAATCATGCCACATCAGACAAAGTAATGCAGAAGCACCTCCAACGAGTTTACAGATATCAGATCATTCTTTTCCAGTGCACCACAAAATACAAATACTAAACCATTGGTCTCAATTATCTGTTATTATAATGCAGTAAACAAAATCTTCTATTTGTTATGAGAAAATGAGGCCAAACCCGACAATGATCATCAGCTAATGGTTGGTTGGATCGGATAATCTGGTAAAGATCAGTGTCCATTAGTTCATAAACAATGTAGACATCATTGAAGTTTTCCTTATGTGGAGGCCGAATAATGTCTTTAATTGCAATTACCTGTCCAAAAAAGTGAAAAATAAGGAGCCATAAGACAACGACTTGACCAATGGAACCTTCTTGAGAAAATGTTAGGCTCCACCAACAATGAATATTTGAAACCAAGATTTTAACCAACTACCACAAATTAAGGCACTGACAGAAATTGTAAATTGACTGAAAAATCCTAATAGGCAGGCCATGAAATGCCATTAGAATTTTAAAATCTATTTGTGAACATGCTTATCTAATTCAATAGAAGAGTCAGTCTAATTGTCAGTAAATGTAATGCTATAGAGGCGGTGGAAATGTTGAAGGTTTTAAATTTCAAATGAACATTTTTCCTTCTCTTATACATAAAATCAGCAACTAATTATTCAGGTGAATGTACATTTCTGCCAGGTAACCTAATTCAATCTTCAGTTAGCTATTTCCAAGTCCATGCGCTTTTCTTATATCAGTAATCATGGATTTTAATGAAATGAAACACTCATCTCGAAGTTAAAAAAAAAAAACTGCAATAAACTTAATAAAGCAGATAATCAAACATGAGTAAGCAGAGGAAGATTAAATAGCACTGGACGACAACGACAAAATAAATAAATAAATAAAATAAAATGGAGCTCAAATCTTGTTCATAATACTGTCTTATTATATCTAGTACTATGTGCCAAACATGCACTAAGGGTCCATCATCACCAAAGAGATACATCAACATTATGTAAACCAATTTACTATATGTTAAGGTAGAAGATAATAAATATCATCCAACTGTGAGCAAGATAATAAGCTGAATCAAGATTTAGTAATTACTAATTACAAACTGATAACTAGCAATACTTACATTATCATGGTCCATGTGGCGTAGAAGTTTTATTTCACGTAACGTCCTCTTGGCATCTATTATATTGTCAAACGCATTCCCAATCTTCTTAATAGCAACTTCCTCACGAGTCTCTGAATTTACAGCAGCACTGAATCCAATGAAAAAAAATAATAATTAAAAAAAAAACCACATTTTCCTTCAGTGTTAATGAATCAGAGGGAAGAAAAGCTCATACAAAAAAAATTCTAACATACTTATCATCTGCATTCCAAGAAACAACATAGTACTCAAAACTTTTTACAAACATCCAATATGTCAGCGTCCTGTCCGAAATCCCCATTTCTACCACATACGATTATATATGATGTATAATTATATTTGAAAGAAAAGAGGACACTCCCTCGACCGCATATATTTTTCAAATAAGCAGTTCCATCTGTCCCTATGGAGGGTTATATCCACGAAGACACTTCATGTTAGTCAATTAACTTAATGTAAAATCTACTGATGTTTAACCTTGAATTCTATAATTATACTGCAACGTTCCCCTAGTCTCAAAAAGTAATAATGAATATGGCTAACCAAGTACTAGATAAGGCACCTGCCACCCCCTGGAACTTTCTCAAGTGGAGATTCTCTACAAATGGGATCTTTCCCGAAAGGTTTACAAGTGGGGCAAGGATGAGCATTGAAATTGCTTGTTCAGACATAGATGCATGTCCAAAAAGTCCCAAATATAAACTTCAAACAAACTGACTATAGAGTTTAAGGTGCAAAATAAACCAGAGGTACAATGACAGGAGCCACGTGATCACAAAGTCCAGCAAGGAATACAAAATGCATTAAGAAAACCATAGGTAGCCTTTAATTAACTACAGTTTCATCCTCACATACCTTACAGTCATCGTTCACCATAAAATTTCAGAATGCATGTCACTCTTTAAAGAATTATCATCTTTAATGACTTAAGTTGAAAACTACTAGCAACGAAAGCCTCAAATCTGATGCTAAACAAATATGTACTTCACAGTGAATTTAACATTTTTAAACTTTTCTTTACATAAAAACAAATCAATTATTACACTTTTGATGGTTCTGAATAAAAACATTAATATTTCTATTAAGTTGCCAACAACTTATCAAAAGAATCCATAACTAATTGATAAACCTTTAAAACAACAACAACAACAAAAATTCCTTAAATCCCACCAAAAATTTCAATTCTTTTATCATCAATAAACACCAAAATTAACAAATTTCATTTCAACAACCAAAAAAATAAAGTTAAAACAAATAATATCAATGAGCTTAAATTCAAGAAAGTAACAAAGATTTTCTTGAATCTCACCAAACAATCCCATAAGCCCCACGTCCCACAGGCCTGATAGGAACATACTTTCTGGGCACCTGAAAAAGATACCCATAAACATCATACTGCACATATCTTCCACCATGAGTGGGCACTCCTTTGATGTTATGGCTCCCATGGCCATGATCACCTGAACCAGAGCTTGATTCCACAGACATACTATCCCCAAAAAAGTCTTTATTTTCCCCACTTTAACAAACCAAGAAAATGAAAATAAAAATAAAAATCAAGAACCCAATTCAAAAACTTGAGTTTTGCTCGAGAATTTATGAGTGTCGGCGTCTAGGAAAGAAAAATGAGGGGGTCTTGACATTTCTTTGTGATTTCCTCGTAATTACTAATTTATGGAGTTAGAAAGTTGAGAGAGAGAGTGAACTTTTGAACTGGGATGACTTGAGACTACCCGTGAAGTTAATTAACTTTTCTGTGAGGTTGGTGTCTACGAATCTCCAACCATACACCTGGGTAAAGGTTAACTGTATATTTGTGTGTGTGTATATTTATACATACAGTGGCTCCAATGGAGGGTAAATTTACGTTATTGTAACTTGTTTTATGTAATTTATATTAGTTAGTTAAGAAGATCGACTGAATATCTTTATAACATGTCTGATTACATTAGATCACTCACTATCATTGATAAAAAATGATTTATTTAACCGATTTTAATTTATTTAAAATAAAGCTTAATTTCTAGTCAATGATTCTTGCATTTAACTGTCTGACATGTGTGTATATGTTGTACTTTTTATTATATAGAAATACATTGGTTCAGATGGAAGATAAATTAATGGATTAACCGTTTAAGTGGTTGAAAGTTGAAACACATTTTCATGTATGTATAATCGTTTAAAAGAACTGATGGGGTGCCAATATAATGAGTCTATAAGGAGTTTAATGATGTTAGACTATTCGTTATTTAGCAACGAATCAAGCATAGAAACAAAAGAAAAAAAAAATTACGTAACTCTCGTTCTAATTTTCTTCTTTTTCCTTAATTATAGTTAATGTTTCTCAAACAGTGTTCTTGTGTGTGTATATGTTTTCGCGTAGACTTAAAAGAGTAACAATGTCAATGTAATCAGTCTAAGAAAAATGGTTTTCAGTAATCCAGTATACATTCATTAGAAATAAAGTTTAGGTTGGCCTCGTTTATGTGTGTTTTTTCTATATTTCTTTATTTTTATTTTTTATTTCTGATCATAAGTCTTAAATTGAGTAGTGGAATTTTTTAGGTAATGACTAATTTTCATTGGACCAAACAAAAAATTGCAATGTCCTTCGGAGTATTAGGAATAAAAAGATGGAAACTATTCATTTTGAATCAACAAATAACTTAGCAAGAAGAGACGTTGTCAAGATCTTGTCTTAAGTTGGACTCAATCCAACATTTTGTGTGTACTTGATAATTTCATTGTTGTACCTGTAATACGAGGGTCTGATTACATTTATATGGTGAGAAAATTTTGCCCATTACTGAATTCGGATAATTGGCTAAGTTTAGAAGAATCAATTTTAATTTTCACCTAAATTTTGATATATATTAATTCTTTAATTAATGACTTCTTTCTACCATTGCAATTATCATTTCCTCAATTATTGCTTGGTGACCTAAATCAAGATTCAATGTTTACAATATTATCACAATTTTTCCGAAGTTATTCACTATAGCCTTTTTTAAAGGTGATGGAGCCACTTTTATTTTGTAGCATGCTTTTGTTCATTTCAGATCATACTCAAGCACGATTAGTAAATATGTGGGTACATCAAGAAAAGAGGGGATTGAAGATCATCATAAATCTTAATTGTTGAGAACAGAGAGGTAGATACAATATGTGAAAGAGAAGAAAAATGGCGTAATTTTTAACAATTTTTATATGTGAAAGGGAGAAATTTAACCTATCCAAACGAAGCTCTCCACGAGTTTTTAAATCGCAACACCACTTTCAAAAAGTTGAAACCAAGTCTAACGTACCCTGAATGGCCCCCTTTCTTTACTCAATACATAACTTGCCATGTGAACTAGCTGCCAACTTGTAGCCAAATACATTTTAAGTTATAGGAACTTAATCCCAAGTATTTCCTTCTCTGTACAACATATTGCAGATTCCTTGAAGTTCAAAAATAAGTCAAGCCTCAAGTCTTAACTCGGCTTAGAATTTTCACGATCATAATACTACAACAAGGATCCAGCTTTGGACATGGCTTTCCCCTTAATAAACCCATAAAAGGGGCTATAAAACACAAGACAGTGCAAACATGAAGATTCGGGCAAACAACATGCAGATAAAATGACATATACAAACATGAGTTGAAAAAAGAAAATGGGAGAAAGAACTCATTAGCGCAAGCGGTACAAATTATATATATCATTAGCATTACATAAAAGTTCATACATATAACGACATTAAAATTGACAAACCACAACTCACAAGATTCACGGTAACTAGAGCCACATATCTTAAAATTTAGTATATCCATAACCTCAAAAAGTTGAAGTCCATAGCTGCACACTTGTGTATACAAGAGAGAGCCTATATTTAGCATTCACTTCACAGTCAGGCCTCCTACTTTGTCAGTTTTTACTGATTCAGATGCATTACCACCAATTCTAAGGTTACCAAGCAAAGCATCTCGTCCTGTTAGAACAATTTTGAAGAAAACATCAACTTCCTTTGAAAGTAGATCTAGTCCATGTGAAAGTTTCTCTTCCGACTTCCCTAAAACTGATCTCTGGTTCTGCAACATCTCGGCTTCAATAGGGTCGACCTCATTTTGTACAATGGGGTATAATTTTTTGACACTTGCATCAACTGCTTCTAGCTCTTTCAAAACAGTGACCCTTCCGCTCAAGTATATGCTTCTTATTTCAATATTTACAAAAGTCTGCAGACCAGAGAAAGCCTCTGCCCACAGGCATGTATCAGGAACCTGTAGATCAATTAATTTCTTTGCTGAACCGGAGAATGCAGCAGCAAATATACTGCATACAAAAACTGTTACAGCTTTGACTCCATACATAGCGCGCATCAAAACCTTTCCTTTTGCAGAGTTTTTAATCTTCGGTAGGTCTAGCGTTTTGACAAGACCATCCATGATGGAAAAACAATTCTCAAGTCTTGGATTCTTTGAACTAATATGCTGCCTCCATCCGTCCAGTGATGCGAGTGCCCGCACAGAATTCATTGAGTCACCGCTCAAGTTATGCAAGACACATTGAAGAAAAAGGTGGCCTTGGTTGAGTCGAGAGATCTCAGAGGTGAAAGCATTGCAAATATCCAGCAACTTCACACTATTATCAAAGTATACATCAATCCATTTATCATCCCAATCACTGACAGGCAATTCAAGGGCCGTGATAAGCATCTTTATATCAGTATGAATTCCACAAAGGGACTCGATGGCAAATCTCATCCACGATAAGCTTAGGACATCTTCCCTGTCCCTTGGCTTAAGCTTTTTAAGCCTCTCTGCCAATGACTCCTCAAAAGTATTCAACAGAGCGAGAAGCTTTGGGGACAGGTAAGAGCCCTTAGGTAATATATTTCGGAAGGGATTTCCAAATGGGAGAAATGGCCTGTGGGGATCCTGTGGACGACTCATTGAATGTAAAAGCTGCAACAATATATGAAAGACAACCACATTAGATGTAAGAAACAAAAGAATGCATGACACATTAAAATATAGATATTCAAAGGAGGGAGGCTGGTTGGGGAAAGGAAACTTTGCAACCAAGCATTTCAAAGTATTCCAAAATCTTATCTCAAGGAAAGTGCTTGGAAGCTTACCAAAAGATGTCCTGACTAAGTCTAATAAAATGAAAATTAATTCAAAAGTATTCCAAAATCTTATCTCAAGGAAAGTGCTTGGAAGCTTACCAAAAGATGTCCTGACTAAGTCTAATAAAATGAAAATTAATTCAAAAGACACAACTTTTCACTTCTATAAATAATTATCTTTGATTTTGTTTGCATAATGTTTTCCCAGTTATATATTAACAAGATACTATAACATCTACCTGTCCCCTTGATCCTTATCACATGTAAATAACAGATGAATAGGTTAAGTTTTTTTTAAACAATCTGAAATTTCTAATAGTTTTAATTTATACAAGATACTGCAGCCCAAAAATTTTGAGTTTCGAGAACTTTGAATTTCAGGAGATATCACAGTCCAAAAGTGCTGTATGTCACTTTTTCTTTTCATTCAAGAAGTGTGAAATCCGAAGAGAATTCATTTCCTTTCTTATCAAAAAATTTTCTTATGCTGATTTTTTAACCCAACTAAGCCCAAGAACCCTAAATCAAGAAACTTTACAGCTGAAACTGAACTCCCTCTTATCATATGTCCAAAATTATGCCGGTATGTATTGGATCCACCAAGACTTCCCTTCCAGGAAGACAAAAAAAACTAAAACCACAAGAAGAAATGAAAAATGCAATCAAATCTAATTCAAAGCACATGGCTGTACCACATGTCATAATTTAGAAAGAACATAAAATAATAGTTAACAACAAAAACCACCCAAAAATAAAAATAAAAATCCTTATTTTTAATTTTTAATCAAAAGTTCATATCTTCCCTACAAATAAATCTTTGTCACAGATCTAACATAAAGCACATATTATCCAACAAAAATTCAATTCAATCAAGAAAAAAAAAATAATAACAAGATTTAAAATTAAACAATAATCTTCAAAAATACTCACCAAATATCAGATCTTCACCGATTCAAAAGGTTAACGCCCAAAGTTCGATCCGATAATAAAAATTAAAGTCGGAAATCGAAAGTCAAATCCTATGTTCTAACAAGAATATTACACGAACGGAGAAAATACATACACAGCTGCACGTATATATTCATAGAGATAAAAATAATAATAATAATTGGAGGTTGAGGTTGTGGGTCGTACCTGGAAAAGTACTCACTCGCAGACGCGTATAGAAGAGGCGACTTTCCTGGAAAGTGTACGCAAATTAGGGTTTACTCTGGGGAACAAGAAGAAAGAAGGAAAGAGTTGATAAATTGACATTTGCATTTTCGGGATAAAAGTTATAGGTTTACTTTATGTCAGTTAATCAATTTTAATTTCTTTCACTTTGGTCATCTACTTTATATTTTTATTTCAATTCAATTATTCAAGTTTATATTTGATATTTTTATTTTACTATTCTCTCTCAATTTCTACCAAATTTTGTGGACAAATTTGTGGCCTTAGCGAGTGGGGATTGAAATCTCTTCCTAATTGAGGAGGGGTGAAGTGGGGCATTTTTGTTGAAAAAGTAATATATTAAATTAATACATCAAAGTTAATATATATTATAAGAATATATTCAAGTTGAATGGAATTGTAACAACGGTCATAAGTTTCAAGTCTAGTCAATTTTATAGTTAATTTATATTTAAATTTGTTCAATTCCATAATTAATTTATGGTTACAAATTCATTCATGGTTATTGTAACATTATTTATATTAAATATAAAATTAACTAAGAATTTGAAACTTCCCTCATCCTAATACTACTATATAAGGATGTGTTCTCCTCCTTATTCTTCACACCAAAAAAATTGAGATTTCTTTCCTCACTCTATTTTTCTCTCTTCTCTTTGTTACAAGAGTTTAGTTTTTAGTAATGTAGATAACATAATTCTTTGTCCTAGCTTTGTGATAGAATTGTAAAAATTCTTAGTTCTTTTAAAGTAGTAATAAGGTGTTAGTCAATAGCTTTCAACTGTTGTATTTTGAAAAACAGGCGCCATCAAACTTCTTGTACCACAATGGAGACGAATCTATTTTAAAGAAATTATGTACAAGAGTTTAGTTTTTAGTAATGTAGATAATATAATTCTTTTTCCTAACTCTGTGATATAATTGTGAGAATTCTTAGTTCGTCTAAAGTAATAACAAGTTGCTAGTTAGTTGCTTTCAACTGTTGTATTTTGGAAAACAAACGCTATCAACCCTCTTGCACCACGGTGAGAACAAATTTATTTTAAGGAAGCTATGTACAACGAAGGTCTTGGTTCCTTTTAATATCGTTACTACCTCAACAACCATTTCTTATAATTTTATTGTTACTCTGTTTATTGTAATATTTTCTTCCATTATTTTATTTATACAATTCTAACAGTATTTTTAACTTCCATTTTGTATTTTTCCTAACAATTTTATCATCCATAAAAATCGAGACTTGACAAGATGCTAGTCAGTTGCTTTTAATTGTTTTATTTTGAAAAACAGACGCCATCAACCTTCTTGCACCACCGTGAGAACAAATTTATTTTAAGGAAAATATGTACAACGAAGGCCTTGGTTCCTTTTAATACCGTTCTACCTCAACAACCATTTCTTATAATTTTATTGTTACTCTGTTTATTGTAATATTTTCTTCAATTATTTTATTTATACAATTCTAGCAGTACTTTTAATTTCCATTTTGTATTTTTCCCAACAATTTTATCATCCGTAAAAATCGAGACTTGCCATTTTAGGAGAAATAGGAATGTGTATTGTTTTAGCAGACGGAAAAATAAAAATGTGTTACCGTGAAAAACAAAAATACAAGTTGGGTGATGAAATTGAAACTACAATTAAAAATTGATGATCAAATGTGAAAATGGTCAGCCAAATCAGACATTTTCGATTTGATGAGATCCGATTAAGGCGTGTTTGTTGGGAAAATAACAACCCCATATTTATGTCTGTTTATTTGTTATATACATTTTTTTTTTTATTTAAAGTACGGATTTCAAAAAAATATTTTGCCTCGTTCAGCACTCTATAGTTCCATTACGTTTTTTTTTTTTTAAACCAAAATAAATTATTAATTGTATTTATAAGCAAACTATGTACAAAACAAAAATGTCATTTAATTTGAACACATCAAATCTCATCAATAGCATAGTCGGCACGAATACTTCATATACAAAACAATACTTGTTTGATTCTCATTATTTGTCAATTAAAATAAAAAATATGACTGTTATTTATCAAATCAAGCCACCATATTTGACTTTTTATTTTTTGTATGGAACTAGTAATGACTATATTTTTTATTCTCATTTTTATATTGACGTGTATCAAACGGGACCCTAACGTATTTTCTATAGTAAAAGAAAAAAGCTTTGAATTTTCTTGCCCACTAATAGACGTAAAGGACATTTGGTTTTGGTCAAAAAGCATCGTATGGCTGACAAAAGCTATGCCCGATCTAAGGGTTAAGAAGCCTCTAGACCAATCTTTATAATGTTTGGACACAAAGTAACTGTTTCTTGTGCATTAGATTCCTTAACTTTTGCCTTTCACTAGGATAAATTGCATATTTGGTACCCAACTTTTGCTTAAAGTAGTAATCTTGATCTTAACCTTTTTTTCATTTCAATCTCGTCATAATCTTCCATAAACTTGTAGAATCCGTCCCTAAAGGCGGTTTCTGTCAAGTTTCACCGTTAAACTCGATCGCGTAAAATGCACCATCCATTTTCGAAAATGCAAAAATTGTAAAGTACTTAAAATCAATAGTGAACCTAGAAATTCAACGATGAAGAGATTTTGAGGGACAAAATATGCATGTGTATTTAAGAATTTTAAAAATTCCTAAGGGGATTTTCGATTGGTCATTCATCATAAATGTGCCCAACTAATTTAATAATTTTCCATATTGGCAAGAGAAGTACGATGAATGATCAGTCCAAAATTTTATATTGAGGGTCGGTAAAACTTGAATTCACAACCTTTGTTGAACACCACCATGCTTCGTTTGACAATCATTCTATCACATTCTACTACACTATTTTTTCTTTCAGTACTTCTTTTCAATCACATTATTTATTAAAATAATATTAAATGTAAATCAAAAACTTTTCATTATCTTTTAACTACACATTATTTATCAATCACTATTCCATAATGCATTATTCACAAATAATGGGGTTCAAACACTCCTAAATATAAAAATTGCGTTATAAGAACCGGACTTTATTGGGAAGTTCAATTTCGATGTCCCATCTGGATACATGTAAAAAATCAAAATAAAATTTGGAATTGGCAAGATCACTCGAAAAGTAAGGAGAATCAAATTGGGTTTGCCTTCAGTTCAATTTGACCCTTGATCCTTATCTTGTACTGGTCAAAGATCGAGCATGTTATTAAAACATCAATAGTGAGGAGGATAATTTATTTATTGCCTAATACATTCATTTGCCAGCTGAATACAAATAGAGCTTTCACTAATAAATCCAACTGCCAGCTTGTTTTTGCCTCAATCAAATCCAATGTCCCTACAGTAAACCAAAGATAAACTACTGTCCTGGCATTGATAGTGACATAAATGAATACCATTTCCCAGTTCCAATCGGGAAAAGGACTGGATGCTTAGCTTAACATAAAGCAACCAAAGACGAGAATTATCAACACAGAGATAAACAACCTTATATATGAACAATTTGTCAAAAGGGACCACTAACATAAACCTCCAAGCCTCCAAATGTCAGTTATGCTAATAAATTCCCTGTACTTCTACAGTAACACGTTAGTTGGGGATAACTCGAATCCTATCCTGCGCACGCCCAGTGTCATTTATACACTGGGTCGTAAGATGCACGATTGGAACCCTGTACCAAGCGATGCTAAATAGCAAATACATTCTGTAAATGTCTATCTTAGCACGTTAGTCCTACGCCCAGTGTAGATACACACACAGCCATAAGATGCACGATGGAGACACTTGAAACCAAGTGATGCTAAATACCTTCCGTGCGAATATATCTTAACATGTTACTGAGGGTATAACTCTAATTCTATCTCACAACCAATGTTTATAAATTGGGACCTAACTAAGATGCACGAGTGGGAAGTGAGTGCAACACACATCAAAGGTGTGTAAGAATACTTGCCGCACATACCATCCAACGGGACGATGTATAAATACTGGACATAGGATT